TGGCAACCAACAAAGAAAGATTCCCTCCATATATAAACCTTTCTTTGACTCTCCACAACAACGAACTAATACTATATTTGTCCTTCTCTGATTGACTTGTTTCACTCAGCATAATACTCCCCAAGTTCATCCATATTATGCAGTGTTTTGCAGACTCTGCATTATTCTTCAGTGCTACATAGCATTCCATTATGTGTATGTACCATAGTTTGTTCATCCACTCTTCCACTGATGGGCACGTAGATTGTTTCCAACTTTTTGCTATTGTAAATAGTGCTGCAATGAACATGAGTGTGCATATATCTGTCCCTGTCCTGGCTCTCACCTCTCTAGAATATATACCTAGTAATGGCATTGCTGGGTCAAATGGTATCTCCAGTTCCAGCTTTCTAAGGAATCACCATATTGCTTTCCACAGTGGTTGTGTCACTTCACAGTCCCACCAGCAGTGTATGAGAGTTCCAATCTCTCCACATCCCCACCAGCCTTTGTTACTTTCTGTCTAGTTGAACCTTGCCATCAGTGCTGGGGTGAGACGGTATCTCATTGTTGTTTTGATTTACATCTCTCTGATAGCCAATGATTGTGAGCATCTCTTCATGTATTAGCTGGCCACCTGAATATCATCCTTGGTGAAGTGTCTATTCATGTCTTCTGCCCATTTTTCAATTGGATTGTTAATTACTTTGGTGTTGAGGTGATGGAGTTTTCTATAAATCTTAGAGATAAGTTCCTTGCCAGATATGTAATTATTGACAAATATGAATTTGTTGCTGTCATTTTTGTTATTGCTTTTTCATGGTGTCGATTTCTTTGTTGTATGTAGTTTTCTATGCTGAGCTCGTTTTGTTTATGAATCATGTTATCACTTCCTTCATTGATATTGTTTTAGTATTTGCTGGATATTTATGCTGGACCTCTTTTTTATTTTGATGTGAAGGTTTGTCACTTTTCTTTGAGCTTGCTCTGTGATTTATAATTTTCTTCCCAAGTTTGTTGTTGTTGTGGTTGTTATCTGTCATCGAGTCCATTCTATCTTGTTGTTGTATTGACTTCCCTACCATCTGGAAGTTCTGTAA